TTGCTGGAAACGGAAATTAAACAGTCTATTTAAATTTTCCAAATATCTTCACAGTTTTGTATTTCACCTATTCATTTTTGTCATAAATGGATATAATCCTCAGTACACATATAATGTAATACTTCTGTTTTACTTCATACTTTAATGTTATTTTTTTCAATCACATGTATCAGTTGGTACCATTATTATTAATAATATCATCAAATCACTTTTCTTCATAATATTTTTTTAAACGCTTTACATGTAGTCTAACAAAATTTGATTCTTGTCTAGACCAGGCCATTATGTTGTTAAATGCTTCTATAACTTTGCTTTCATCAGGTGATATACCTGATGAAGATTCCACTCCACTTTTGATATTAATAGAATTTATTTTTACTTTGTTTCTTGAAAAATTTTCATCTTCCACACTATTTTGTAGGTTATCACCATCTTCTTCATCTTTTGATTCCAATTGAGTTTCAAGATCTTCTATTAATGACGATTTTGTAAGGTTTTGTTTAATGCAGTTCTTCCACGCGATTTGGATGCACACAACACTTACTTCTGTCCATGCCTCGTGCAAAAAATCAATACATTCTTTCATGTGAAAATTAGAATAGAATTCTTTTACTCCACCTGGCAAACTCTGAATTTTGCATAACATTCTACTGTGATATAACTTCTTCACTACATCAATTACTTGATTCATTGGCTGAACATTTTGGGAAGTATTGAAAGGAAAAAACACAATTTTAAATTGTTCATCAGATTGAAATCTTTCAAATAACTTTGCCTTATCTCCCTGAGAATCATTCAAAATGAGAACAACTTTCTTGGAGAGACCATTTTGTATTTGATATTTCAACACTTCTGGTTTAAAATGGTTTTGATACCAATCAAAAAATAGACCTGCATCCAAAAAACCTTGTCGTTGCGATTTGAAAACCACAGGTAGCTGGTACTTCCAATACTTTAATACTCTTGGATTTGCAAATTTATGAATGAATAAAGGTACAAGTTTGTGTTTCCCTGTGGCATTAGTACAAAGACCTATAGTTACTCGTTCCTTTCTCTGTCTTTGGTTGTTGATATCTTTTATTCCACTATGTACTAAAAATGATGCTGGAAGAGCTCGCCATAAGAGACTAGTCTGACAAAAATTGTAAATGTTTTCTTTGTCAACGCCAGTTTCCGCTACGCATTGTGTGAAATTCTGTATAAACTCTTTCATAGTCTCTCCATTCCCATCTGCCTCTGCTTTAATATTATGACGATTTTTAAATAACCACAGCCAGCCTCTGCTGGCTTTAAAAGATGATGGTCCTCCATATTCTGTATAAATATCTACTGCTTTTTCTATCATCAGCTTATCTGTAAGTGTTTTACCAAGAGCTATCTGTTCTAGACACCATACATGTAAACGGTTATCCACTTCTTCAGTTTTTAGTTTCTGTATCTTGCGACGGCGTGTCCTCACAACACCTTGTTCTGTGAATTGATTCAATATTACTGCAGAGCGACGAATACGATGAACTGTAGCAGGATGAATATTGTACTTGGCAGCCAACTTTGAGATGGATACACCACTTTCCAAATGTCGAAGAACTTCTAGTCTCTGATCCATTGTCAGTAAGGTTTTAGATATCCTCTTGTTACTTGCCATCTTGGTAAGAGGTTGTTGCACGTACCGAATTAGTTACAATAGTCTTGTGTTCGAAGTTTTCTTATAACAAGTATCTCATTTGCAGTAGGTCCTTTTACACTGGTGCTTCAAGAACAGGAGTGCTAAGAATGAAAATTGAATTTGAACATACAGAATTTTCGGTTTGTTATAAAATTGACCAAAATATTACTATTTTGCAAAAACGCGGAGCAACATTAATCAAAGGCTTTCAAGTTTAATTAGTAACATTCTTCAAACTTTTGTAGCCAATGCGATTTTTTAAAAGCTTGCTCTTTTACATTCAGTTGATAAAGCAAGCGATTAGGTTGCTACCCACAGATCCATAAATGTAACAAAGTTTTTATAATTAAGTGTGTAAGTTACATGTGACACAATGATCAAGTACTGCTTTCTGGAGATTCTACCCATAAGAAGACAAAATTGATGATATACCAACTGTAATGTTTTATTAAAATATATATAATCTTCAATACTTTAAGTATAAATTATATATAAATACATCTTTCTGCATTATTTCGAAAAATCATAGAACAATTTAAACTAGTTTCTAATATATCAATATTTACACGATTTAATTTCAATAAAACTAAAAGGGCAGCCTGTTATTCATTTTTAAAAAATTATTTTAGTCTTGATTAATGAAATTTATAATGTAAAATTTTAATGTAAAATTTTACGTTCACGTTTATTTCTTATATTTCTTATTTGCGACCTTATGGAGACTGACTTTTTTACATGCGGTGAAGTACAATGGGCAGTCACTTCAAAAACACGGTAAAAGATATTGTTTGATTTAAATCATACATTTATCTCTTATTGTTTTGTTTTATAGTATATCATTTTATTTTATAGTACATTACACATATTTAGGTCCTTCGTGGAACCTAATTATGTACTAGCTCCAACTCCCGGACCGTGTAGTTTCCTAAAGAGTACAGACAACCCTCCTATAATACGGTAAATATGTTCCTAAAAAATGCCGTGTTGTGTAAAACCGTATTATGAGACCCAGGGCCAGTACAAATAGGGGGATTACGTTCCGAAAACTGATTAAAAACAAACATTTTTTTTAAATTCCATATAAGCAACTTAACTTTTATTAAAAATATAAATATATGTATAACACAAAACGAAAAAAGAAAACAAAAAATATTATTTTCATTTAATATAATCTTAATTTAATAAATTTCTTCCTCGTCATTACCCAGTACAATCAAACGAGAACGTTTTTTCGGTTGAACGATATCACCTCCACTTTCTGAACCTTTCTCCTTCTCTCTCATTCAAATTTTTTGCACCTTCTATCCTCTTTAAAAAATCTGTAATTTTGGTTTATTTGCTAGTTCCTACAAGGTCATTGTAGATTTCAAGGTATGAAGATAGATAACTTTGCAGCTCCCTTTTAAATTTTCGGCTTCTTTCAGCAGAAGGGTATATATATTTATATACCCTTAATTATAATAATAATTATATTGTATATTATATAGATACTATAGTTCATTATTCCTACCCGTCATTATTTTAAGCTAATTTAGTTTTTAAATATGTTAAACAAAAATCATGCTATCCAGTGCTGTAGAAGTACAGTGCCATACGAAGATTTTTGCAAGTTTCTTATCGTGTTAGAGCGAAATAGTATTATAGGTGCAGTGCTATACGAGGGTTCCTGCAATGTATCCTATCGTGTTAGAGCGAAACCGTGTTACAGGATGCCGTGTTGTAGGAGGGCTACCTGTACTATAAGAAGAAAGATATCTTTTTGTCATTTTACTTGTTCTGCGTATGTTTTGACACGTACGTGACCTTGCATTCGACAGTTATCCGAACTGTATCGTGCCTACAATTCACAGTCCTCTACTAGCATGTACCAATTCTACATTTCTTGATCGTGTTTTAAAACTTCCTATTTTTTCATGTAACAATATGAAAGTTGATACAAAAGCAAAAAAATAGAAAGTTAAAAATATTTTTTTTTGATAACTTTCTCAGTAACAGGTAGTTAACCATTCTTTCCTTTTTAAAAAGTAAAACCCTACTCTTTAAAATGTGATCAAAACGGACAGTGTACCCCGCTGAACTCATAATTAAAAAATAGAAGACATTTAATTAAGCAAAAAAATATAAATGATAGAAAAGTGTGCTTTGGCATAATTTAAGTACACAGAGAATCCCATTTGAAGTGATGCACTCAATTATCGTCCAAAGTCTAAACTATAGTTCGTTTTAAATGAACCTTATCCTGTTTCGAGGGGGGACATCCCGTTATGATCGCAAATTTTTACTGGGTGGACTAGCTTTGAAGATTTCAAAGTTACCTTGGTTTTTCTTAATGGAACTGTATATTTCTGTTTATGTAAGTAGATAATGCATTTCAAAGTCAATTCATTGACCTAAATATTTTTGTTTTTTTGAAAGTCGTTTTATGTATGTATGTTTACATACGAAACGACAAAATACTGAAGGAAGATGAAACTTTAGGGACGTTTAACGAAGATTTAAACAGCATTAAATATTCTTGAACGATCTTTAAAGACCAAAGTGTTACAAATCAATGAATTGACCTTGAAATGCATAATCCGTTTAGCCGTTACCAAAAGAAATATATAGTTTCATTTAAAAAATCAAGGTCACCTTGAAATCTCAAAAGCACATTCACCCAGCAAAAATTTGTGACCATTATAGGATGTCCCCTTTGAAACAAGGTAAATTTCATCTGACATATTTTTTTAAACGGATTATACATAGTTTAGGAGATAATTGAATGCATTACTTCAAATGGGACACCCTGTACACTAAGTACATCAAATTCTGTCATTCATCACTTAATTGAAAGAAATAAAACAATTTTAAGTAATATGAACAATTTCGGGTAATTTAGAAATAGGCCACTTTGAACATGATTAATTTTTCGGTCTTGTAAATCAATATACTACATAAAATACATTTCTTAGGTATTATCAGCTCCCTCATCACATCATACGCGAGTGATAATGATTATAAGAAATCTATTTGTAAATCAGAGCAATAATTATATAAATATAAAGAAAAGTATATCAGTACACATTTTTCAGAAAGATATCACGTTATAAAATTAAAAGCATAATGAGCGAGTTTGCTAAAGGTATTCACAGTGCTGAAAAATTGTTGATTATGTTGATAAAATTGGAGCACCTTTTTTTCATGCTCAATTAAATTTTCTGATTAAACAATCCGATATAAAGGTAAAGGGAATTATTAAAGGTAAATGAGATCAAATCCAATCCACCAGATGAAAAACCATAGTATCACTCAAAAGTTGAAAGCAGAGCTGAACGATACATTCATGTGTTAATTTGTAACACAATATAAGCATATCCTTATTTTTCAATATATTATTATGATACTTCCACTAAGAAGTCAGTGATGTATGCTAATGGAAATAAGTCCAAATGGTTTTAATTACATCTTTATTCATATAGAATGTAAGACTAATGTTCAGTAATTCAAATATTAAACAAGGAAATACTGCAATTTTATATATGTATAATGCTCGGAATTATTTTTATAGAGAAAATTTTGGGGATATATAAAACAAACATTCTTATAATATTAAACAAGTATATTTCTTATGGATGATTAATAAGTAGATTTCAGAAGTTATGTTTGTGTTTATCATTTCTTATTTATTATCAGAATCATGCAAGACATATGACTTTCATGCATCTATGATAACATAAATGAAGTTTTTGTTACAAGTGCACTTGTACATAGTGTATTACTTTGCTTCTTTAGATGCATGACTGAAAAGTATAGTTATACTCTTCAATGAGGCACAAGCATGCTACATTACCTGACCCAAAATGAATATGTGAAATAATAGTATGATTTTACTTCATAGAAGTATATACTACAGCTCGTGTTTACTCAGACAATTCAATAATTTTATAAAGTTTCTGTTTTTAAAATGATTATGTATTTGTAACTTAACCCATTAACGCCCAAAATGAAACTGCAGTTTTTCTATTTATTAGTCCATAAGGGATAAACTATGCTATATAAGAAGATAAAATGAAAAAAATATATTTACGTATCAAGTTTTAGGGGTGTACTCAACCGTGTACAATGGGCGCTTTAGGAGTGAAATTGTTTGAAACAAGGTCGTTCAAAATACATAATTTATCGATTAAGTAGTTGTACCTGTGCAGGTACAGAGGGCGGTAATGGGTTAATAACAACTTCTTGAAAAGTAACTCATATAAAGTAATATATAGAGTAATGCAATGCATGAAATTTTGTTAATTTGATGTTATTATTAATATAAAAATTTCTGTATAGGTATTTCCTTACTTTCACTTTAAACAGAATAGAAAGAAAAATCCAGTTTTATTTATAAGGAATTTTTCTAACTTTGTGATGTATTAACAAAATTGTTGTGACTATTAACAAAATTTCTGCACATCTACAAATAAAGCATTTATTATATTTATTTACCTAAAGTTTGAAATACTGTCATCCAATTATAATTTTCCAATAGGTAAGAACCCAGAGATCCTGTGAGTAATGTACCAAGGGCAGATCCTGATGTTAATAAACTAAAGAATGATGCTCTTTCTGTTTCATGTAATCGTTGACTTATTAAACTAATCATACTAGGAAAATGCATTCCTGAAATATATAATTTTGATGTACATAGAAAATAAATATTATTTGTTATTGATTTACTTCCATAATTGGCATTAAAAAATTACCTTGGAATGCCCCATTTATTGTTCTTACTGTGGCTACTAATAATACAGACGTATCACTTTTTGAAACAAATTCAATAATTTCTGGCATAAAATAAGTAGTTGTTGACCATCCAATAGCAGAGATCAATAATACTTTTTGTCCTCCAATTCTATCGCTAATATAACCGCTAGCAACTTGCGTTAATGTATAACCCCAGAAAAAGCTAGATAATATTACTCCAGAATCAGGTTTGGACCACTGTTTCTTTTTGCTTATTATAGGTATCAACAAAGGTACAGATGTTCTTGTAGCATATATAAGACAAGTGCCACATAATAATGATAAGAACCATTTACGTTTTTCTTTCCTAGAACACATTTTGAGAATTCTATATATTGCAATCAGTTTTATATATTAATGTAAAGAATTGATGAAGAATTGTGCACATAACTTCATTACCTTGACCAAGATGAATTACTTTTTTCATTTTGGATTGTACCTAAAGGTATTTGCATTTGCATTGCTTACAAAGTTCCTTTTTATGTAAAAACTTATGATTTCTTCCATATATTTAAGATTCATAAGTTATGTGTTTATATGTATATGCTTTTAATGTTGTGTCTTATATTTATTGATAAAAAATTACATTAAATTTTATTTTAATTTTGAGAATTAGTAGAATAATTGAATTAGTACAAATTTACAATTAATACGTTTCATTAATGGCTTCAACAAAGTATTTACAATACATCATTCGCAAATGTATGTTCATTAATGATTTTTTAAAAAAACCTTTTAACATCGTGACATTAGAAACAACAATTCACAACAGTTTCTCCCAAATAGACCTTTTGTTTAACTACCATTTTTCAATTGTTCTAATTGTT